GGCTCTTTTAAAGAACACATTAATCGCACTAATCGAGGGATTCCTGTATATATATATATCTATCTATCTATATATATATATATACTAGGGATGCACAGGTACCCAGCCGGTTATTGGGCTACCCGGTAATAATCGGCTCTGGCCAAGTGTCAAAGTTAAGAGCAGCCAGATCTGGGTAATTGAAAATGGCATCTAAGCCCTAATCTCTGTGGCAACTTACTGAAAGTTACATTCAATAATTGGTTTAGTTAAAAAATGTGTTCCAAGCAACAAAGAATGACTGCCCACTGAAAGTTGGGGATTCAGAGAACAATAGAGGTTATTAACAGGCATGACTTGAGAAGTGGATTTCGAAAAAAAGGTGGGGGTTTAGAGAACAATAGGGGTTAGAGTTTGAGAAGTTGGGACTAGGCATTAATCGGAATAATGATCCTAAAACGTGTCAATATCACTGTTTCTGCATTTACTTTCACTGACCTCACATTTGGAAGTCAAATGAAGCTCAATCTACCGCAATGGCCAGGATAGTAAGGTATTATCTCTTCACACCTCCAACCAGTATAGACAGTGAACAGGCTTTTAGCACTGCTGGCAACATTATCACACACATGAAAGGTCAAGGCTTTTACCTGAAAACACTGAAATGCTACTGTTCCTCAAGCACATTTTAAACAAATTCCAAAAATACAGGTATTCTGCAAACTGGTGTGCACATTTTTGTTAGTTAGTTTTGAAAGTTGAAAGTAAAACTGGAATGTTCTATTGGTTATTATTTGGTTAAATGTAATAAATATCAGTTTTGATTTTGTTTCTAATTTTCATGTATGTTCTTTATTTTTGTTGAGGGGGAGAGGAGAACCCGTTCCCGGTTGACACCCAGCCCTGGCCAAAGCTTATTGGCAGGGTACCCAGACCCAGTAATCGGCCAAGTTATACTACCCGTGCATCCCTAATATATACACACATACACATAAAATGATTTGCTAATTTGTTGACTATAAAACTTGTATACAATTACATGTTTAAAACAGAATAACAGATTGATCCCTATGTTTGCATTGTTTTCAAAACCAAAATACAAGATTTTCTTTGTTTGTGAAATTTGTGCAAAGCAACTCAAAGACTATCTGTGATAGTCTTCCTTAATGTTATAATGTTCCTATACTGAAAATGTATTTCCAATAAATACTAACCTCCCCTCACATCACAGCTTTTCTCATTCAATGTACCCTCCATATGCACAATTTTTGTTGTCACTAGCTTTTATACTCTCATCTACCCTCACATGCTTACATGTAATGCAGCTGTGCTGTAGCTTGCAAATAAACATGTGACAACACTCCACCAACAGGAGTACAACTCACCCTAAGGCACAGCTGGCTACCTCTATACTGTATAGCCCAATCTTCACTTTGAGACTAGGCAAAAAAGAAGCACCATAAGTGGGGAGGAAGGGTGAGAGGAGGTAAATATCTATCAAAAATACCCTTTCAGTGTAGAAATATTATAACTTCCAATACAATACTTTACCGGTGGAAGGACACGTGCAAGTTTTACCTAGCTAAGCACCCATCAAGAAGCGTCCAAAGAGAGCTCATGGAGTGTAAAACCTCGATGTAGAGAGACACACATGTGGGAGACTGCACTACATCTGTACCAGGTATAATCTTCCCCTGTTGTGAAGATACATGTCACTAACTCAAGCAGAGAGGACACACATGTGGGAGACTGCACTACATCTGTAACAAGTATAATCTTCCCCTGTTGTGAAGATACATGTCACTAACTCAAGCAGAGAGGACACACATGTGGGAGACTGCACTACATCTGTACCAGGTATAATCTTCCCCTGTTGTGAAGATACATGTCACGAACTCAAGCATGAGGACACACATCCTGTGAGACAGCAAATTCTATTTTTTTATGATTATAGTTGTGTTTATTGTTCCTTTATTATGTCCTTCTATTGTTTAGTTTATCTATGAATATTTAGTTGCATTAAAATGCTAACTAACCTCCAACATAATCATTTGTATTTTAAGTAAATATATATATATATATATATATATATATATATATATAT